CAGAAGACATACATACAGCCAACAAGCTCAACATCACTGACCATTACAGAAATGCAAATCAAAATCAATGAGATACTACCTTACACCAGTCAGAATGGGCGCTATTAAAAAGCCTAAAATATAACAGATGCTGGTGAGGTTATAGAGAAAAAGGAAGGCTTATACACTGTTGGTGGGAATGTAAATTAGTTTAGCCATTGTGGAAGATAAGGTGGCAATTCCTTAAAGACCTAAAGACAGTAATACCACTCGACCCAGCAGTCCCATTACTGGGTATATATCCAAAGAAATATAAATCATTCTATTATAAAAATACATGCACCCTTATATTTATTGCCACACTATTCACAGTAGCAAATACATGGAATCAACCTAAATGCCCATCAATGATAGACTGGATTTTTTAAAAGTAGTACATTACACTATGGAATACTATGCAGCCATGAAAAAGAACAAGATTGTGTCCTTTTCAGGTACATATGTGGAGCTGGAGGTCATTATTCTTAGCAAACTAATGAAGGAACAGAAAACCAAATACTGCATGTTCTCACCTATAAGTGGAAGATAAATGATGAGAACTCATTGGCACATAGAGGGAAACAACACACACTGGAGCCTATTAGAGGTTGGAAGGTGGGAGGAGAGAGAGGATCAGGAAAAACAACTAATGGGTGCTAGGCTTAATACCTAGGTGATTAAATAATCTGTATAAAAAAGCCATGACACAAGTTTACCTGTATAGCACATCTATACATGTACTCCTGAACTTAAAAACATCAAGGCAAAGCCCTCCACGAGCAAACACATTGTAACTTGCTAAAGGCTCTGATGATTGTTAGCATTTTTTAGCAATAAAGTATTTTTAATTTAAAAACAACAAAAACCTATAATCTGCTTGCTACTTAAAGAGCATGCTTGCATTTTTATTTGAATTCTAACCCCTAAAAAAGGCATTTTGTTTATTTTGTTCTGAAGTTCTGAATACCTATATGGTAAGTAAACTGCATTAATTTCAACTGTATATTTGATGAGTTTTGATTAAAATATACACCTGGATAGTCAACACCCAGATCAAGATATAGAACATTTCCATCATTCCCAGATGCTCCCTTGATGCCCTTCTATTTGATAACTTTCTAGAGATAATCCTTTTTCTGTGTTATATCATCATAGATTAGTTTTACCTGATGTTCATATGAACATATAAGGCCTGAACTTCATATAAATGTAATCACACAATATGTGTACTTTTGGGTCTGGTCTCTTTCACTGAGCATGTTTTTGAAATCCATTCATACTATTCCATTGTATTCGTCATCTATTTCTGTGTAACAATATTACCACAAACATAGCACATTAAAATAACAGACATCTACCATCTCATGGCTTCTGTGGATTGGGAGTCTGTACATGGCTTAGCTGGGTCTTCTGCTTCAGAGTATCATAAAGCTGAAATCAAGTTATTGGCAAGGGCTGTGGTCTCAACTGGGAACGAGAAAATATTCACTTCCAAACTCACGTGGTTAATGGCAACATTCAGTTACATGCAGGCTGCTGACTGAGGGTCTCAGTTTCCTGCTGCCTGTTGAAAATATATTATCAATGGAGCTATAAACACTCACTTTAATTGAGTGCATCCCCAGGAGTAGAATCTCTGGGTCATAGATCACATGTATATTTAGCTTTAGTAGATATTTATACATGCTTATTCTCAATCCTCACAGCTACCTTGGAGGTAGCTATCAGTATCTCTATTTTATAGATGAGGAATTGGAAGCTTAGAGAGAGAAGAAAACTTGACCAAGAATCCATGATAGTAGGAAGCATCTGAGTTAGATTCAAACCCAGGCCTTGCTGGCCCCAAGACCCTTTACACCACCACAGTGTTTTACCAACCACAGCTGCTGGTATACTACCTTCATGATTTCTACCATATCTTAAACAATACTATCTATAAATTCATTGCTCTGTTCTGCTAGTAATTTTTTCTTACTACAGTACACATAGATATACGTAACTATTAAAATTTAAAAAGTCATCCATTTACCACATAAAACTGTCTTGCATATTATAGACCAGTGATGCTGGTACAACAATTTGGGAAACACGGTTGGGCTACATATTGTAGTCAGGGATTGAATTCTTCCTGTCTTGGCCCTGTCACTGATTCTCTGTTTCCTTAGCCAAATCCCTTTGCCTCTCTGGACTCCAGTCTCCCCGTATGTACAATGAGAGGCTTGTAGTCAACCATTTAGAGACCCTTCCAGGCTTATCTTCTGTTCTGGTTCAGAGACAGGAATGAGAAGAATCAGATGACGGTGCACATTGGCACCAGGATCGGGATGTTTCAGCCAATCAGTTTCCCTCTCTTGTGCAGTGGCAAAGTCCCTGCTTTCTGTCCTCTACATCTATGTGCACAACTATTCCTTTGAAATAGGCCAGTGCACATGTGAATACATACTTGTCTGTCCGTTGAGGTGAAGAAGGGGATTGTACACATATATGGTTGGGTGTGAACACCTATGTTACACGAAATTTCCACCACAATGCCTCATGTCCCCCAGCATGCTACATGACTTCAGCCTTACAACTATTTATACTCAAAGAGTAGAAAACCTACCTGTGTAATTATTGCTGTTGCTATTTGTTTTTTCCAGCACAACTCCTTTTGAATGCAGCAGCTCGGAAAGCAAAACATGGCCACAGTGTCATACCCCATTCTCAATGGAGTGTTGTAATTGTATGAAATTGTTACCATTATTTAGAAAATATCACAAAGGGTTGTAGTTTCAGTTCCAGGTTATATGAATTTCAATTAGTTCTTGTTATGATCATCCTCCTCCTGATAGCAAGAACTGCCAGTCCCTGCTAAGCCATGAGAAAGAACAGGGACCTTGTTTACATGATGAATTGATTAATTTGATGAATTAACGTTACAGCACTTGGAGAACATTTACACTCTGAACCACACACCCATTTACTAGTTCGAAAACATTTTAGGTACCTCCATAGACTTGACTGCAGACTCAGCCATCAAACTGAATTATGAACAAACCAGTGTTGACAGAGCGCCTAAACCATGGAGCCGAAAAGCACAGGAAAGGTGCAAGGAAGAGAAAAGACGTATATGGGAAATCTACTCTAGGTGTTATGTTAAGCACTATCATTTATAAACTTACTCTCAGAAAGCCTCTCAAGGAGGTATTACTACTATACTGCTTTTATAGAAAATAACCTGAAAAGTCACATAATAGTGGCAGAGCCAGTATTTCTCTTCAGGTCCAACTCCAAATCTGTGTTTTTTCCAGTACAGTACACTTTTATTGCAACTGTCCCTGCCCTTCAGCTCTAGGAAATGGAAAATAACATATGAAAGACATACCTGGCTTTCTACCAAGTTCTGTTCATGTTTCATCTACTTCAAGAAGCCTTTCTTGACTGTCCCAGCCCATAGGATTCTTCTCCTGCTTAGAATCTACATAGCACTCAGCTGCATCTGTATCCTTTCTTCAGGAAATCGTGTAACAGGGAGGTAAGTGTCCTTGGAGATTAATCCAAACCCTTATTTGTATGGGTAAGGAAAAGTTGGGTCCAAAGAGGGGAACAGGAATTGCCCAGGGTCGCACAGAAGATGAGATGAATAAGTGGGACTAGATCATAGGCCTTCTGATTCTTGGTCTAGTACTTTACTTACTACATTCAGGTTGGGGCCAAAGGTGCAGAAGAGAGATGACTATTAACTTTGTGTAATGGAACAGTCAAATCTGATATTCAGAAACCAAATGGAAATAATCTAATGTATGTAAAATTGCATAGCATGTCACCAGGTATAACATAGTTTCTCAATGTGTTTTGGTTGTTTGAATCAAAAAAGCCACTTCTACCACCTGCTCAGGGTCTACACAGCCAGGGGTTAGAGCAACCAAAGCAATCCACGTTTATAATTTAGTTTTTTAGACAGACATTCTCTACTCTTCTCATTTATCTGTTTTCATGTATTTATAATTTATATACTTATTTCTTTTTTTGTTTCTTTGTTTAATTTTTAATGAAATTTCCTTTCCCAATTTCAACTTCAACTTCCTATTAATCCTCTACATTTCTGTTCATGTCACTTTTCTGATAAAAATTTAACAATTCCCCATCATCAACAGGATAAGACCAACTTCTCAGTGTAACATCAGAATTAGATCTCAATCTTCCTATCTATTCTTATTCATTATATCCTGTTCCTTCTTCCCTTTGATACATACCCTAATCTGAAGCAATTACAAATTACTGTCAATTTGCTATGTCGTTTCATTCATCTGTCTCTTTGCACATGATGTTCCCTCAGTATACAAGCATGCTCTATCCCTATTTCTATGCTTGGCAAGCTCAATATTAAAACCCACTGCAAATATTATCTTAAGTGTTTTCTCAGGGTAAATTAACTGCTTTCTTCTAAATGCAGTTAATCCAACTTTAAAAAGATTGATTACACTGTATTCTAATTGATTAGTGTGCATATCTGTTATTCCCTCAGTCCCTCTATCCTTTGCTATGAAATGTTCGAAAGAAGAAAGCAGGTCTTCCTTATCTGTCTCTTTTTTTATGTGCTCCACAAATGTTTGTGACTGGTGGAACAACTCAAGCAGAGAAAGTACAGAGGCCAATGTGTAATCGTTTCTCCCTGACTTAGAGCTGCCTCCTGCACTCTTCCCATTTAAACCAGGTGATTCTGAGCCAGGGTGAGAAAGCAAAGTTGCTTCCCTAACTCTCCTCCTTCTGTTTTTTAACAGGAACAATACTTCAAGAGGTATAACAAAAGGGAAGGAGAGGCGCTAAGCTAACAGGACTCAATGGGGAGGAAGAGGCGGGGATCCACCCACTATGGGTGAGCCCACCCCAGGGGCATAGCACTCAGCTGCTGGCCGGGTGCTCAGATGCAGCCCCTCCCTCCCCGCAGACAAGAAAGACACTGTAGCCGTGTGGAAGCCTCAGGGCCCCTCGTGTCTAACCAGGAAGCCCTGCTGGTCGAGGGGGTGATGCCACGGCACATCGGCACATCGGGGGCTCTGCGATCGACGCATGCACGATGCCGCCATCACTTAAACTGTTTCGAGAGGCTGGCCCTGTGGGAAGGAGGTAGGCAAAAGGCACATAACATATGCATGCCGCTCTCTGGTTTCAGAGCCACTTCTACCCCAGTTAGGTTTTGGACTCCACAAGAAAACCAGTTGATGTACTGCTTCCTCAGTCATGGGTATTGGAAGCATCAGAGGGTTGGATCTGGCCCTGTGCATTTGAATTATAAGAAATACCTAGAATCTAAACTGGAGGCTGGAATCCAGGTCTCAAGTAAAAGGGTCTGAGAAGGGACTACTTATCCTGAAGTCTTCAGACTTATGAAGGGATCAGGCGGACCAGACCAGTGAAAGCAGATTCAAGTTCCGTATAAGGTAGAACTTTCTAAAATCGGAGTCCCCTAAATAAAGAACTAACAGCCTGGCTAGAAAGAAAATGAATTATCCAATCCTGGTGGTGTTCAAGTAGGAGCAGAATGATTGACCTGTGAGGATTCAAAATAATTGAACTTAGTTGCCCTCGGAGCCCAACCTTATGCTGCTACTACCATTCATCAAGGAAGATTCAAGCTCTTACAACTTTTCTTGTTGAAGGAGGGAATAGTGGATGCTTCTACTGTGTTAGCATCAACCTCTAAAATTTTAAGCTTCCTACATTTTGTTAATTTCTCCTGCTCACCTAGGAGACACAGCAACCTCACTTTGATGCACAGGCATACAGTAACACTCGTTAAATAGATGATAATATCTGCATGCTCAGTATGTGAGACTTCCACACTTTATGCTTAGAAAGGGCTTACTACTTTTGTTCTGCACATGTACCCCAGAACTTAAAGTATATTGAAAAAAAGAGAGAAAAACTCTAAAAAAAATAATAACTAAAACAACAACAACAAAAAGAGGACTCACTACTTTTCAAACTGAGCTTCTCAACTACCCTGAAGCAAAGATGGGGGTTAACGGATGAAGAAAATGATGCCAAGAGAGTCTCTCCAAGAGAGACTTTCCTAAAATAGCTATAAAGACTATAGCCATTTATTCTTTATAAATTGCCACTCCATGCAGCATTCTTGTCCTCTTTCTGCCTTGGTTCATTGATTTTTATGTGTTTTTTTTTTCCACCCAAAAACAGGAGGAGGGACATTCTGACACTTTCCTGAGGCTCTTAACATGAAATGGTGCCTGCTGAATATTCTAGAGGGTCTTCCATTTTTTCAGTAATCCATGTCCCATCCTCAGCTTCCACATGCCTCACACCTTTTCTGTCATCTCTGCATATTACCCTCTTGCCCTCTTTCTAGACCAGTGGTTCTTGAGCTTAGTCACACATTAGAATCATCTAGGGAGCTTTAACAAAAACCAAAGTCCAAGGCATACCCCAACCCAATTAGGATGGAATCTGTAGGGGGAAATCCAGGCATCCAAAATATTAAAACTCCTCAAGTGATTTCAATGCCAAGTCAAGGTTGAAAGTCATTGCTCTAGACTCTCTGATATAGTGTTTCTTGGCCTGTCTTATTGTTTCTATTTTTTTTCCAAATATTTCACCCATAAAATGTTAATATCACACATTTAATATATATCTGTTTATATACTGTAGCCCTTTGGAAGTCCATAGACCAGTGTAATAGCTAAGAGTTCCCCCTCCCCACGCCAAGAGTAAACTTTTACTTTTGGGGGAGACTATATCATCCCAATTTAAAATTCATGCTAACAACTCATTACCTTCACTTAAAATTTGATAGAAATGCAGAATCTCAGGCTCCATTCCAGACCTACTGAACTGTAACCTACTTTTTAACATGTATTTACCATTCACTATAAATTTGAGAAACACTGCTTTACAAGTCTTCTCCTTCTCCAACAAAACTGTTGGACCTATGGCTCTGAGTAAATTGATAGGAGCAGTGGCATTTATGGAGACCTAGAACATCAGGATTAAGATGGAGGGTAAAAGCATCTAGTGCAAGCCTCTATCCCTTATTTGAGCTTCTCAAAAAAAGTCCTGCTGAGTAGTCATCCAGCTACTGATGAAATAACTCTGATGATGAGAAATTCACTATTACTCCAGGCTGACCTTTCCAAGATCCCTTTTAGAATGGGATTCTTTGTGTTGAGCTGAGATTATTCTTCCTTTGGTATTTACCCTTGTATCCTGCTTTGCACCCAGTCACGAACCAAAATGTACCGACTTGCTCTGCCCCATGACTACTCCAAGCTCTGAAAACAGAGGTCATAGTCCCCTCAGTCTTCTTTTCTTCTAAGATAATTCAGCCACGATTCATAGGTTACATTTCCTCTTCTTTCTCAAGACTGCTCTTTCTGTTCCGGATACACATTGAAGTGTTTGAGCCACAACTAATGGTCTGGACCCACAGCTTGTGTGGGCTGTGTCCCAGCTGCAGGCTAACTTAAGAGAAATAAAGGAAGACTGTCACCTCTTTTGTCCAAGATGCTAAACTTTTATTAATGCCCCGCTAAATTTAAATTAGCTTTATTGGCAACCATATCACACTGTTGGCTTATATTGAATTGACTGTCAGCCAAAATCCTGAGACGTTTTTACATAAGCTGCTTTACAGTCACATCTAAAGTAGCCTCTTCTTCAGTCAGCTTTCAGTACCTGAGTGCAAATCTTGACATTATCTGTGTTGAGGTTCACTTTTTTTTAAGAGACAAGGTCTTGCTCTGTTGCCCAGGCTGGAGTGCAGTGCACAGGCATAGCTCACTACAGCCTTGAACTCCTGGGCTCAAGTGATCCTCCTGCCCCAGTCTCCTGAGTCGCTAGAACTACAGGTGCATGCCACCATGCCCAGTTGTTTTTTAATTTTTTGTAGAGACAGGGTCTCACTATGTTGCCCAGGCTGGCCTCAAGTCCCTGGCTCAAGCAATCCTCCCTCCTAGGCCTCTCAAAATGCTGGGATTGCAGGCATGAGTCATGTTGTTAAACAATTTAAAAAATGTTAGTAATCCAAAAAGCACAAATTAAAGTGATATGTCATTTGGAGACAGAGACTGTTAAATTAGTAAAGAATTTATAAATGCTAATACCCGGGGTTTGGATGAGTATAGGAAAACAGATACTAAATGGGAGTAAAAATTAAGCATACAATTTGATACAATTTGTATACAATTTGATCCCAATGTGTATATGGAAACAGTTGCATAGACATTACTATTAAAGTGTATTCCCAACATGGTTTGCTTTGTTTTTTATTTTTCCTATGGGTACATAGTAGGTGTATATATTTATGGAATATCTGAAATATTTTGATACAGGCATACGAAGTGTAATAATCACATCAAAGTAAATGGGGTATCCATCACCTCAAGCACTTATAATTAATCTTTGTGTTACAAACATTTCGATTGTATTTTTTAGTTATTTTTTTTTATTATTATTTTTTTTTTTGAGACGGAGTTTCGCTCATGTTACCCAGGCTGGAGTGCAATGGCGCGATCTCGGCTCACCGCAACCTCCGCCTCCTGGGTTCAGGCAATTCTCCTGCCTCAGCCTCCTGAGTAGCTGGGATTACAGGCACACACCACCATGCCCAGCTAATTTTTTGTATTTTTAGTAGAGACAGGGTTGCACCATGCTGACCAGGATGGTCTCGATCTCTTGATCTCGTGATCCACTCGCCTCGGCCTCCCAAAGTGCTGGGATTACAGGCTTGAGCCACCGCGCCCGGCCGATTTTTTAGTTATTTTTAAATGTACAATAAACTGTTGTTGACTATAGTCACCCTGTTGTGCTATAAAATACTAGACGTCAATTATTCTAACTATATTTTTGTATACGTTAACCCCAATCCCTCCTCCCCACTACCCTTCCCAGTTCTGATAGCCATCATTCTACATGATATCTCCATTTCAATTGTTTTAATTTTTAGCTGATGCTTTCTGTTTTACATTGTGCTCCTGTTACTAATGATAAAATGTCAAAAGGATTGTGTTACATAAGACTGAGCTCAAACTGACAATTAAATGCTAATTGAAAGTCCATTTGTTAGAGAACTCACAGCAAAGTGCTAATGCTACATGTAAACTTGCTGAAAGTTCAATGGGATAAGGCCCATGAGTAACCAGCAAGAGTGATCCTAAAGGAATTGGTTTCATAATTTACTTTATTCTGAGATCTCCCTAACATCTGAGCAAGATCAAAACAAGAAGGAAAACACACTGCAGATAATGCTTTAGCTACTATTCAGAGCTATGAGACTCTTAAACTTCCCTCAGACTGGGACATCAGTCTCCCTAAAACATAGAAATATCTTCTGGAAGATCACCTTTACTGCTAAATGAAAGACAGAATTAATAATATTTAGGATGAGGTACCTCCCTGAATTGCTCCAACCTTTTGATGGAAATAACTTCATGATTCAACTTTTTAGAACATGGATCAACAAACTTTGCAGATAGAAAGTTGTATCATAAATATATCAGGCTTTGTGGTCTATATAGTCTGTGTCACAGTTACTCAACTCTGCCATGAAACTCTGAATAAAAGCAGAAAATATGTAAATGGATGAGTGTATTGAATTTAGTGAAACTGCATTATAAAAATAGGCAGTGGGATGGATTTGGCCCACAAGCAATAGTTTGCTGACTCCTGCTGCAGTTTTCTTATGCAGTTTTTATTATGGTTAAGCAGTTTCCATTTGTTCTTATTTTACTTAGGGTGTCTATTAAGAATGACTGCTAACTATTATCAGCTGCCCCCTCACATCTATTTAACCATGTAATGTTGCGCTTTTAATTTGGAATTACATTGATGAATCACATTTTGTCGAATTGTATTCCTGAAATAAACTCTACTTAATCTTGTTGTTATTTACAGCCCTGGATTAAACTTGTGGATTAATTTTTGGAATTTTTACCTCTACATGCATAATAAAGTTATTCTATCATCTTAAAAAAAAAGAAATATCTTCTGAAATATGACCCAATCTAGTCATTCATTAAGTGGAATTATAACTAATAATATATCAATTATTACATATTCATTATGAACCAGACAATATTTCTTCTTCTCTTATTTGTTTTTT